GACGACAGGACGTCCATGCGACGGTGCCAATGACGGCGACGACTCTAGAAGGATTTGAGCATGCGCTCGCGGCGACGCGCGCGCATGTCGCCCGCGTGGTATTTTTTGCACAGGATTCGCGGCCTGGGTGCATGACAGAGCATCGCGAGTGCACCGCGCGATGACGTGAAAGCGCTGGATTTGACCGAATTCTTAAGATTCCTATGGTCTTCCTATGATTTCAGCAAAAGAGCCCGGGCAGGAAATTTGTAGAATTGTTGTGAAAAGCATTGGGTTTTTTATGTTTTTATGTTGAAATGCTTGCAAACACACGGTGTTCGGTAGGATTCTGACATGAACGCGCGCGTATGCTCTGTGTGGTATTTTTTGCAATGGATTATCGCCGTGGACGACAGGACGTCCATGTCGAGAGGAAAACATAAGAAAAATGTTGATGTTGTATTGTTTTTTACAGGTTAGGATGGGACCACCCGGATGGGGCCCCGATCTGCCGGCCTGAGGGGGGAGTAGGAGTATATTCAAATAAGGAATAAGGATAGGAGGAGGAGGAGGAGGAGGAGGAGGAGGAGGAGGAGGAGGAGGAGGAGGAGGAGGAGGAGGAGGAGGAGGAGGAGGAGGACGAGGAGGAGGAGGAGGCATAGGAGGAGGAGGAGGAATGGAGGAGGAGGGAGGAGGAGGAGGAGGAGGAAGAAGAAGAAGAAGAGAAGAAGAAGAAGAAGAAGAAGAGAAGAAGAAGAAGAATAAGAAGAAAAAGAAGAAGAAGAAGAAGAAGAAGAGAGAGGAGGAGGAGGAGGAGGAGTGGAGAGCGAGGAGGAGGAGGAGGAGGAGGAGGAGGAAGCCCCCGCGGCTCAGGCGTCTGCCTGAGGAGGGGCTATTCTCTTGCACTTGCGAGCCGCTGTTTCCCCCCTTGCCCCCCGCGCCGCCATGGTCCCAGCAGCCAGGCCCCATTGGATCATGCAGGAGCTAGCGAATGGCCGCCAAGGCGTTGTCAAACTGTGTAGCCACAGCGACAAGATGATCATGCAGATCTGCCTGTTCCCCGTCTGGGAGCCGACTATGCGGAACAGCCTCATGATAAGTTTGCTCCACATGGTGCAGCTGGACATCGACAGCGCTATCATCGTGGACCACGGGCACAAGAACTCCAAAGGCGAGTCCCACATCCGTCTTGTCGTGAAGCCCCTCCCGGTGTTCGTCGAGGGCTTCTCTGGTACGCCGCCGGCCATGCGTTCTGCGGTGGAGGAGGGCTCCGAGCGCCAGACGCACGCCGAGTCCATCTGGCCAGTCCTGGCGCACGAGAAGGGGGGGTCGTCCAGCGAGCAGCTGTCTGTTGCGGGTGGCGCGACTGGTTCGGGCTCTGTGGTGATGGAGAGCAAACCCTGCGCGAAGGCAGAGACTGATGTTGATGCGGTGAGGCCCCAGCGGCACGGAAAGGCCACTGCTGCTCAGCAGCGCAGCGAGAAGCGCACGTTCGCTCCAGGCATGGCCGCGCGCCTTGTTGGCCTCAAGGCTAGGCCGCTGCTAAATGGTCGTGAAGGCACCCTGAACTTCTACGACGACGCTGCTGACCGCTGGGTTGTCAAGACTGGTGCCGAGGCCATTCGTGTCAAGGCATCGTGTTTTGAGCCACTTGGCTCCCATACGAAGAAGTCTCTCGGCACGGCGTTCCAAACGGCCGCCTTCGAGTATCAACGTTTGGACCCAGTTGCTAACGACCAGGTGTTCCAGCTGTTGCACGACCATGCTGCTCGAGAAGGGCAGCCTGGGGCGGCCGCCTTCTTCCTGCCTTTATTCAGCGACAAGACAGCCTTCGACAAGGTGTACTGCCACATGGCCGCCAGGAGTCTTGAGATCGCCTACCAGTGAGTGGCGCTTAGCTGCATTCTTGGCGTGCCAAGTGCATCCATTCTTGTGCCCTCATACGCCATTCCTTGCGCCCCACGTCGTCCGTTGGGTTGCGCTTCTCGTCATGGCTGCCTGCGCCCCCATGCATGTCGGAGTTGCGCTTCCCGTCAAGGGTTCTTGTTTCATGTGCTACTCGATCCTTCGGGCGAGTGCAGCGTTGCCAGGTTCTTGCGGGCGAGATTCGGCTGCGTTTCTCGTGCACGTGTGGACACCACGGACGTTCGTCTTCCAGGGCTGTAGGAAGAAGAAGGAGGAGGAGGAGGAGGAGGAGGAGGAGGAGGAGGGGGAGGAGTGGGGGGCCGGTGAGATTCGGCGATCGAACGAGTGACTTCGGAACGTACCCCGAGTCTCTCACGGCCCACTCGATGCCACCCAGTCTTGCCTTGGGCACTGCAGAAAACGACGTTCGACATCTTCCCGCACGAGCTGAGTTCAGCACCGTAGTTGATGAGAGAAAGATATTGGAGCTGATGGCACGTGCCACAGCTCTCCGCGCTAGCCTGCTCCCAAAGCTGGCGCTGCCTACCATGTCGTGCACGCACTGTCTGCACCGCCCGCTCTCCTGATCCCAGCACGGAAGCTGCGTAGGTCCCTGCCGACGCCGTCACTGATGCCGCTGGTTTTTCTGTGCCTCCAGCACGAGCTATTCACTGCACTGCAGCTGCGACGCTGGTCCCACAAGCGCGGGCGTCGCACTGTCAGGCCTCCTTGCTGCCGCTGCCTGCCTCCTTGCCCTTGCCGATCCTGGCGTGATGGCTGCGGATCGGCTCTTGCCGCCCGTGTCATGTCTAATTGTTCTATCCTGGGCCGCTTCCTGGCCACCAGGGGGCCAGGAACCATTGGAAACGAGCACACTTAGAAATGAGCACGATTAGAAAATAAACACGCGTGCGTGTGCACTGGTGAGCCCCCTTCGCACGACCTGGTCCCAACACGTTCTCTGGCCACGCCTGCTGCCCTCGCCCGCCGCTCGAAAGATCCATGAGCTCCGCGGTGCAGCCAATGACGCTGGGCTCGTGGCTGCTGCCGCTGCCTTGCTCCTCCTCCTCCTCCTCCTCCTCCTCCTCCTCCTCCTCCTCCTCCTCCTCCTCTTCCTCCCCTCCTCCTCCTCCTTCCCCCTCCTCCTCCTCCTCCTCCTCCTCCTCCTCCTCCTCCTCCGACAGTCCCCGCTGCCGCTGCCTGCTGGCTGGCACTGGCCACCGATGATGGCACTGCCTGCATTCTCTCAGGAGCCGACTCCAGCTCTGCAGATGATGCGCCGCCTGCTGCATCGTACCGCCAACGCCAACCACTGCTGCCGCTGCCTGCCGTCGTGCATCGACGGTCGCTGCTGCCACTGCACGTCCTCTCGCTCCAACTGTCCCTGCTGCCGTTGCTGGCCTTCTCGCACGAGCTTGCTCCAGTGTCAAAGAAATCTGTCGAGGTCACTCTCATGCTTGGCCGTCGGGCACCGACAACTGCAGGTGCCTGCCTTCTCGCATTGGCAACTGCTACTGCCTCTGCCAACCTTCTCGCGCTGACAGGGCCCGCTGTTACCGCCTGCCTTCTCGCTCTGGCAGCCCTTGAACGACCTGCTTCTCGCACGAGCTGACCCCAGCTTTGAGGCTCAGGGTGCTGCGTTCCTGCTTCGCCTTCGGGCCCCGACCACCGCTTCTGCCACCGCCTGCGTTCTTCCGATGACTACTTACCGCGGGAGCCCCTTCTTCCCACCGAGTGTGCCTACTGTCGCTGATGGCAGATGGTGATGCTTGCCCGGGCGCCCGATCCCACCTCGGCATTGTACTTTATTCGTGAATTTAATTGGTTTTAGGGTTTTAACAAATGGTCGCAGCCACGCAGAGGACGTGCGTAGCGACGCCCCAGATGCTCGGTCTCCAGTACTTCTACGTGGCTGCGCCCCCGCAGTCACGCAGAGGGCACGCGTGGCGACGGGGGCGCCGCCACGCAGAGCTTCTAAAGACCAAACATGTTGAAAACCAATTGTTTCCCCTACTAACGTAGCTGACAACACGTGCCTCGTTCGTCGCCGCTGGCGTTGCCAGGTCATTGCTGCCGCTGACGTTCTGCTCCACTTCGTCCTGCACTTCGGTTGGGCCGCTCACGGAGGAGGCGCACATGAGCGGGAGACGGTCAGGTCCTTGCTGGCCGTCCGCAGTTCGTCGTGGTGGGTGACTTGAGCTCGCAGGGCACGTAAGGGGGAAACGAGAAGAGGGCGCCGTCAAACGGTTGCGTACGTGGTGGGCCTATTCCCAGAAGTTTAGCTCTCACGACGTTGGGGTCCACCTTCATGTGTGGCTTGTGGCAACATCGCTATTTCCAAGTTGGCCGTCACAGCTCAGGACCCACGCCAGTGGGGATAGGGATCGGTCAAACGATGCTCGAGGGGGGATGAACTGGTTTCCAGCCTCGGGATGCTTTCCTGCAGCTCGGAGCGAGGGAGGGCGGAGGAGGAGGAGGAGGAGGAGGAATGAGGAGGAGGAGGAGGAGGAGGAGGAGGAGGAGGAGGACGACGACGGACGACGACGACGACGACGACGACGCGCGCAGGTCGTGCACGGCCGGGCGGGCGGCAGCCGCGTGGGTCTTCGACGACGCGGCGGAGCCCGACAGGCCCCCCCCCCCCCCCCCCCGCGGGCGGCGGCGACGCCTGGCGACGGGCGCCGACGCCGGGCGCGCCGCACGGCCGCCGGAGAGAGCCGAGCTGCGGCTCGGCGGCAGACGACCTCCCTCCTCCTCCTCCCTCCTCCTCCTCCTCCGCCTCCTCCTCCTCCTCCTCCTCCTCCCTCCTCCTCCTCCTCCTCCTCCTCCTCCTCCTCCTCCTCCTCCTCCTCCTCCCCGCGTGGAGTTTCTCGGATCGGCGCCGAGGCCCCCGCGGCGGCGCATCTCTGGCGCCGCCCGGGGCGCGCCCCGCGCGCCGGCGAGAGGGGCGTCCGGCGCCGCTCCGAGGAGCTCGCGCGGGCCTCCGAGCTCTGACAGCCTGTGGTGCCGCTGCCACGTGCAGGAGGGGTCCCGAGACCCCGGGGGGGCGTGGCATATGGCGGCCGGGCGCGTGCCCGTCGTCGGCGCGCCGCCCCGGGCGCGGCGGCGGTGACGAC